GACGACGGCGGCGGCGGCGGCGGTGACGACGGTGGTGAATCCCGGGACGGATGGAAGCGAGTCCAGGCATGCTCCTTCTCTGGCGAACAATGAGGACGAAGAGGATTACGCGATGCTGTATCGACAGGCCAACCTGGGGCATTCGACGACAGTGTGCGCCACGGCGACGACGACGACGGGTATAATGACGCGCGTCGCGACGTCGCGCGATAAGAAACGGCCGTCGGAGAACGGAGAACGGTCCTCGACGGCGAACGGTCTTGGGAGTAATAACGATCCGATGGTGTCCGGCGCGAAGACGTATCAGAGCGCACGGCTCCAGCACGGTGGTGACGCCGTGTCGTACTCCGCGAGGATGAGCGGCGAGTACAATCCTGCGACGAACAGTAATAGTAGTATCGTCGTGCGATCGAATCCGAGCGACATCGGTCTTCTCGGTGGTGAGGACGACTGTGTCGCGTACGGTACATCGACGTCCGCCGGTGACGGTAGTAACGGGATCGCGCTGAGCGTTCAAAACGCCGCTGAGCAACAGGCTGCGACGAGCGTGGATGACAAGAGCCGGCAGCAAGACGGTTTCGATAATCAGCAGGCCACCTCTTCGGCGCCGACGGTGGTCAGTGTTGGTGACGGTAATGGTGTTGGTGTCGCGACCACCGGCTGCGACTCGGTCAGGTCCGACGAGTCATCGACGACGACCTATAGCAGCCTCAGTAGTCCTGACGAGAGTCAGAGTCATCAGCCGGGACTGCAGCACGACGGTGGTGGCATGCCGGCGAGTAATAATCATCCTGGCGGTGGTAGTGCGTGTGCGCAGCAGGCTGCGCGGCCGTCGCGTGTCAATGGTAGTAACAATGGTAGTAACGTGCAGCATAACGCAGTGGTGTTGACTATGAACGGCAGTGCAGTGGTTACGCAGCAGCAGCAGCAGCAACAACAACAACAACAACAACAACAACAACAACCGCAACAACAACCCTCTGCCATCACCGTGCCACGTGGATGGAAAAGGATATGCACCAACGGGGTCATCATTTACATCAGGTGAGTTATCCATGTTGTTTGTTGTCACTCATCAGTGGTTCTCGATTTACCTCCAGCGAGAGATTCGATATTTCAATGCTGTTCACGGTGAAACGAGCAAAGAGGAAAAAGCAACTGGTGAAGCAGTGATTAATATGATGTAATTGATAAGTCTCATTGCGCAATACTATACTGTACTATATGTTTATTCATATTGATAGAAAATTAATTTATCTTTCATAATATTTTTTTTATAATTTATAATTAAAAAAAATTTTCGTTAAAAATTTTCTCAAATTCTCTCGATTATTTTTTGACTCTGGCGATGACGCAGGTCGATCATCACTGGTTTAATGTTTGCGCAACACACATGTGCCCGAAACGTGGCGTCGATTTCTTGGAAGAAAAAATTCCATGATGCCCTCGTGATACCCGCGCCACGATCCTATTTCTTCTGTCTCACGAAAATGACTTGAACGTACAAAGTTAATTCTCGAGCGAGTCGCATTAGCGAGCGCTTTTAATTCGTCGGCTTAAATGGAGTTGACCGACAGCTCGAGGCATCAAATCGAAATTAAAACGCACGTAGCCTTCGTTTTGCTAATGGAATTAAACTACGGCCAGTTTAAACGTACTATCAGGTGCGGTGTACGAAACGCGAGCATCGAGTGTAATTGGTGTTTCTCGAAAATTGATTTATAGAAATTTAAACAGCGAATTGTACGTACGGAGTAACATGAAACATATTTCACGTTAAAGTTAATTTGTTCAAAAATAAATGGAAGAACTTTACGGCGATTTTTCGGATTCTTCAATAAAAATTTTCCAAATTCTAATAAAATTTTTTTTCATAAATATATTTTTTTTCTTTAAAATTCTAAATAGCGTTTTGACAGTTCTCTGTCGAAAAATATAATTCGTATATATTCTGATTGAAATAAAAAAATCTGTCATCAATTTGTCTGTAACGAAAACGTAAAATAGCTTATTCATGTGTCTTCGGATCTTCGTTTCTACTCTCTAAATTTTTTAGGGTAAAATCTCAGACAAAAGGAGTGAAAATTACTCCAGTCGATAGTGAAAATACTGCTATTCGGGATGGAGTGACATTTCACTTTCGTAAAGATAAATGTTTAACCATAATAAATGTTTCATTCTTTTGGAGTGTTCATTCTTTTATAGTTAAAATGACCTTATAAGACCAGGAGTCTTAATTAAAAAAAAATATTTAAACTTAATTACGGGGTCTTAATTAAAAAAAATATTTAAACTTAATTACGTAAGGTAAGTCTTGTTTGTGTTTTATCTCTTATAAAAGAAGACATTTTTATGTAATGTTCGCTATTCTTGCTTGGCATGTGCATTGTTTCCAAATTCATTCTGTAATTGTACAAACGAAAAGATTCACTTCACGATACAGCGTGAAAGAATTCATTATATGAACGAAAAGTCACTCCAACTTGAGCGATTCGGTAAAAACTCCATTTTTCGAGTGAAATTAGTTTACTCCAAAAAATTTAGATTTACACACTTTTAAGGATCAGAATAATAAAATTCTCCGGAATTAATTACGCTAAAAATGGGAATTTTTGTAAATATATATAAATTTAAAAGTAATGTTAAAAAAAACTGCACGATAAAATGACAACGTTTTCAATCATTGAATGTTCTCGGAGGCGATCGAAACGCGGAACGCTCCGAGCGGAAGTGACGTATTATTTGTTTCATTTCACGCTTGTGCACGCGGCGTCTCGAAAATAGCACGCAGCTCTTCGAGGGCGCGCACTCCATCATCTAAGTTTAGATTCAGTCAGCTGTTCAGACAGATCTCGAGAAGGACTACGAGGGCGTTCGAAGCCCTTCGATTCTTTGTAATCCGATCGTGTAAAGAAAAAAATACGACTTTTGGGAGTCCGGAGTTTCGACTTTATACTATCTCCCTCCGTCTTTCCGCGTCGTGTGGAAAGCATGGTGGCCCTTTTTCCTCGGTCCTTATTGTATTTTTACGGTTCCTTTGAAACATCGGTTGGAGGTTGCTTTCATCTTTCATCGCTACTCTGATTCTTGTTTTTCTTCATCATGATGCCTTTTACCTGTGCATTCGGTATAATTTTTTTGTAAAGTCTGAGATACGTTCGCTCATAATGTACATGGTATTAATGAATGCTCTTTGTAGATAAAAGATATTGATGTGTAAATGATATCGTAAATGTTATTTCTAGTAGAAATACAAGGGAACAAAATTTGAATAATTAGAAACGATATTGTAGCTATTTTGAAGAAAAAAATTGCACGTAACGAAGTTAAGTAACAAAGACTAAATGTCAGAATTGTTCAGACTTGATATCAATTAATCTTATTTTTTGTTTTTAAAAAAATAAATTTTTTTTATTACGAATTTTAGTTCTTGTCGTAACGTTAGGTGTGAAGTTGGGATTTTTAAAATGTTATTTTAATAGTGTTAATAGTCGGACATTTTTTTATAAACATAAAACTTCCACATTCTTTAAAAGGAAGCTAGAATTCTAATCAGAACTCTCGGTGCTAACTTCACACCCCCCCGAGATAGATTTATCGATTTAAAAAAATATTTATCCGTTTATATAAGTTAATCTCTTCGATGCTTGAAATTGCGTTGGAAGACATCGCATCCCGCATTACGAAGATTAGGATAAGCGATTTTCCTTGCGAGAAAGGAAGAGGCGTGATTGGTAGACAGATTTATCCTCGACGATCGTGTAATATGATTTAAGGGATCAGCTGCGAAAAGAGGCAACCTTTTCCTTTGTGCGGCGAGAAAGGCGGCAACTGATTCTTGGGAGTCCTACGAGAAACGCAAAAAGGGCAACGCCTCGTGGCGTAACCGTAAAGCGTAGGAGATCTGACCTGGTCTGTCTGTCCCAAAACCTCCTCGTTAAAACGATCCTTTCCGGGCTGGCAAGAGTCACGCTTCAAACGACGTTTAAAGGGCCTGAACAAACAATACTCGGCCTTAAACGGGTCCGGCTAGCTCGACCTTCTTTTTCGGTCCATCCGAGGTCCTATCTCTTTGAATAAAATCGGCGAACTACACTTCTCTTTAGTATTGTTCGAGATATACAGATTTCTTTTGCGTAATTTTTTCGCCATTTTCGTTCCATATGATTAACTTTTAAATGCCACAGTACGAGAACACAATTGGTTATATTAATCCAATTTGATTGCTTGTAATTTTCATTAAAATGAACATATTCAAACTAATTATTTTTTTTAATTGAATCGCTATACATTAAGGGACCTAACAGTACCAGGCAAATGTATGTATATCCTTATTGATAAAAAAGTTATAGTAATCATTGGGAAAGAAAGCCTGCTATATACAGGGTGTTTGATAATTAATGAAAAATCTTTTGCACAGGGGCAAAATGGACTAAACTGAAAAGAAAAGTCCTTTGCCATTTTACAATTTTCGTAATAGTTAACAAGATATTAATTACTAAAAATTGTCGAAAATTAGTCTTCAATAATTTTTTACTCAAATACTAGCAGCTTTACAGAAAACCTGCAAGAGACAAAAATTATTTACTATATTCTCATAGAGCTCTAAAAATTTTTTCAGAATTTTTTATCAACTTTTTAGTATTGCATTTTCTTATTTTTACCAACATGAGAAAATACGGTATTAAAAAATTCTAAAAAAATAAACAATTTTCGCCTCTTGCAGTTTTTCTGTAAAGTTGATAGTTTTTGAGTAAAAAATTATTGAAAACCAATTTTCGGCAATTTTTAGCAATTAATATCTTGTTAACT